GAATCGGGTCCGCTGCCATGGCCCAGACCGAGCCTGACAGCGGGCGTCCTTGCATGACACCAGATTGTAGATAGAACATGAACTGCTGCTCGCCGCTGGCTATGGCATAGCTCCTGCGCGCGAAAGAGAAAGCCGAAATCAGATTTCAAAATCCCGCGGGGGGGGGGCCACAGCGCCCCGACATAGCCCCGAGCCAATCATGGCCCAAGGAGAGAAACGCAGAAGCAATGTCAAACGCAACAAAAAACTGGGGCGCCCTGATCGGCGGTTTCGCGAATGCTCGCGCGCCTCGCAGCCGCGCCAAGACAGGTCAGATTGCTTAGGATGTCGCGCCCGGGAACAAAGCCCTGCTGGACCTCGCGAGCGCGGTCCTGCACCAGGCGCTGCGAGGACGCTCGAATCTGCCCTGCGTGGCGACAGGGGCCTGATCTGAGAAGGCCCCCCAATGCATTCGCAGGCATCGAGGGGCTCGGCGCCCTTCGGAAGAAAAGCAAATAGCGAATCATTTAGGGGCCCAGAAATCACGCGGCCTGCCATCAGGCGTTTCAGGGGCCCGTGGAGCACGGGGAGCAACTCGTTGAGAACCATCCATGCCTCGTGGGGGATCCTACCTGGGATAGCTGCACTGCGTCGCGCGTGCTTGAGGGCCATCTTGAGGTCCTCGGTGCCGGGGGCGGCGATGTCGGCCACGCTCTGGGCCGCCAGGTAGATCCCCCCGGGACGTTTCTGGATGTCCAGCTCGCTAGCCGGCTTGGCCCGAAAGGCGTTGGCCCAGTGAACCTTCAGAGCCTCTGGAGTCTCCGCAGGGGACTTCGCTGCGACCTGCGCGTCAGGCCCCGCAGAGTGCTCAGGACAAATACCCGATAGAATCAGCCCCCTTCCCTCGGGCCTCCATAACATGGTTCGCTGGCGAAAACCTTCTGATACTCGAGATGAGCAGCAGCTCCAAGAAGATCGCCAGCGCGCTGAGCCTGTTGGGCAGCCCGCGCAGCACCTCTCGCTGTGCGACCTCCAGTTCCGCAGCACGAAGTGAGCAAAATTTGCGTCGAATCTCATCGTGGCAACAAAAGAACATGTACATCACCAATCTGAAGGAAGCGAGCCCCTTCTTTCGCGATCGATTGGATCAAGGCAGCAAGTAGAGCGCCCGGTCGTCAAACCGCTCGCGAAATGCTCCTCCGCGCGATCTTTCTCCCACCTCGCGCTCTGCGATCATTCGGTCGGAATGGCAATCGTTGCAGCTCATCTCGAGACTGGCGAACAGCCTCCATCATGAAGTTCTTCGCGCGGAGCCACTGCTGGGCGGGCGAGAAGCGCTCTAAGCCAGCGACGGCGAGCCAGCTGCCCGGCATTTCCTCGAACCTTCCGTCGCTGAAAACCACATCATAGATGCGATGTTCGGCAGCGTCAGATGGCGCCTTGGTGCGGAGAGGGGCAGATAATGGAGCGGTCGCTCAGCCTGGACTGCGGCATCTCCATGGGATCCGCATCGGTCGTGGCGAAAACGTCCGGATCCATTCGGTAGTGCTCAGGGGTGCCAGTAAAGGTCCCGTCGATCGCAGATGCTGCGCATTGTTGGCGGCTGACGTTCGTCGGGGTGGGTGAACGGGCCCCTTGCATCACGTCAAAGGGAGGCGCCATAATTTCCCCGCCGGCAGATGTGCGCGGCTGGTTGGTAGAGAGCTCGCTACCGCGAACGGCTCGCCATAGCTGCAGGGAATGCCCCCCCCCCCCCCGCCACTGGCGTTGAAGTCGCCAATGGCGAGGGAGGTGCGCAGCGTGGGGTCAGCGACGTCGCATGCCACGGAAAATCTCCAGCAGCGCGCGATGTCACCGCGCTTGCGATCAGGTAAGCCGTAGTTGTGGACGTTCAAGATCTCAAAGCACGCACCACTGCGGGCACGCACAATCTCCAGCGCGGCGACTCGACCAGGTACGATAGGGTGAGAATGGACAGTCTGTCGGAGCTCGTCGGGCAGGGGCTTCGGCCATGCCACCAGAAAAGCGACGCCTCCCTCACGCGATAGCGAGGCCTTGAAGTGGACGAGCTTGCACTGGCATGGCGAGCTGGCGATCAGGACCTCCAGCTGTTGTCGGACTCCGTGGTTTTCCCGTCGAAGGAGAAGGGCGTGCCGCTCGATCTCCTGCAGCTCGCGCTTGCGCTTGGGCGCCTGGTAGCAGCAGATTCCCCGAGCTGTCCATGACACGCGGCAGGACGCACTCCAAGGAGTCCAGCGCGGGCTACATAAACAATAGCGATGTGTCGTTGGCACGAAATAGGCATTGGAACTCTGCGGCGACTGCGGCTTCGTCCACTCGCAGCTGCGACGACTTGTCGCCCCATCGAAAATGCGAACCGTCAGGTGCACTGGCGCCAATCTCGAGAACCACGAGCGGGATCGAGCCGATGGAAATCACGCCCTCGTTGCCGACCTTGCGGAAGTGGTGCGCAGGACGACGTTCTGAAAGAGGCATGCCCAATCGCTTTGTTTGCAATTATCTGCGCAAGTGCGTGGGCGACTTGTCCGCATTGAAGTAGAGGGGCGCGATCGCTCCTGATGTGCTGGGCGCTGTGAGTGCTCTCCAGTGGCCGCCCACGTGCAAGTTGCGGGCGAACGAGGTGCCCCTAGAAGAGGCAGCAGGCCCACCGGGCACGCGGAGGAAAGAACCTCATGACGGGCACATCGCCGATGAACTCGACGTCGCTGATAGAGACACCTGCTGCCGAGAGCCGTGGCTCAAGTGAGCAACGGACCTCAGCAGGTTGGACTGCGGACGGCGCCCCGATGCTCCAAGGTGTGCGGGTCGGGCAGGCTGTCCCTCGCGGCGAGCGCCGCCATGTCCAGCGGCGAGAGGGTGGCCTCGGAATGGCGAGGGGCGACAGGATGCGCCCGATGTCCGCCTTGAGTTGCTGCTGCCCCTGCTTGACAATGTTCGTGCGGCTGCCAAGGTCGCGAATGCAGGTGTCGATGCTGTCAATGCGCTGGCTCTGTTGCTCACCTGAGAAATGGCGAGTTCGAACCCGCTCTGCAACGCGGAGGTGGCTGACTGCATGATGGCGGTAGTGTCTTGTTGAAGGCGCTGCGTTGCACGCTGCATATGGTCCGACACGACGGCGGAGAGGCGATCCTCGATGGGGATCGGTTCAAGGGCAGCGGCACCAGCACACGGTTGTGCAGCAGTTCCTGCTGGAGACCCAGGTGTGTCCATAAGGGTCGCGGTGCCCCATTGACCTTGTCGCTGAAGGGGGTCACCTGCGTGCTGCTGCATCTCATCATCAACGAAGGTAGGGAAGAGCCCGATGCCTTGTAGCAACTGTTGTTCGTCATTTCGTTGGCATTGTCTTTGGCGCTCTCTTTGCTGCGTCGCAGGGCCTCCAGAGGATCCCACTCGTCTGTCGGCTGGTGTAGCTTGCCGTTCGTCACGCGGACGTGGGGCTCGCTGATGACGTGCAGGTCGTCGTTCGGGCTCTCGGCTGGCCACTGGTGTGGGGAAGTCCGCCAATGCTGCCGTCGAGTGCCACATCACTGCGTGAACCGCTGGCGTCTCCTTCTCGTCTGCGCTGGCGGCGACGTTCGAGGACACGTGTAGGTGCGGATGATGGCCCAGCGCTGCTCGACGCCATTGCGTAGAAAGCAGTCGTGGCCACAAACGCGGATCAGTTGGTCTTACCGTGGGCAACCTTATCGCAGCACCTCCCCTGAGCGAACAACAGCAGATGGCGATAATATGGAAAACCATGTGGAAGGTTGGTGGGCAGCTCGCCCCTTGCTGTGGCTGCGAAGACATGAACGCAATTGTCCTGGCTGGGATGGGAGCCTACCCCGCAAAAGGCAGTTCAAATTACCACTTTGGCTCCTTGAGCCAAAATGGCTACGGTACGATGCCGCTGAGGATGATGAGGATGATGGTGGTGATGATGCTGATGCTGATGCTGATGCTGATGATGATGAGGATGACGATAACAATTGTGATGGTGGTGGTGATGGTCATGGTGATGATGGTGATGATGATGCTGATGATGCAGATGATGACGATGAGGATGGTAATGACAATGATGACGATGATGGTGACTGTGATGATAAATATGATGATGGTAATGATGGTTATTATGACTAAGATGACGATGCTGGTGAGAACGGCGGTCAAGGTAATGGTAATGGTGATGGTGATGTGGATAATGATGGTGAGGGTGATGGTGATGGTTATTGTGATGTGGCGATGGTGATAGTGATGGCAACGGTGATGTCGATGGTGCTGGTGATGAAATGGATATGTTGATAGATATGGCGATGGTGATTTTATTACTGATGTTGAGTATGATGATGGTGACGTTGGTGACATTATGATGGTGGTGTGATGATAGTGATGATGAGACGCCCATGGAGGCGAGCATCCCCGAAATATCCAAACACTTCAGACTGAACGACAATAGACACCAAAGAGCTATCCGCCACAAATGTTGTCCGGTGGTATCGGACATCATGCGACGCACACCTTCAAAGCTGGCTGTTTTTGGCAGCGCTGCCCGTGCAGCCAAGGGAGGTTCAAAGCTGGAGAAAGAGAGAGAGAGAGAGATCCCAAGTTCGATAGCGGTCTCTGGAGCCAGATGGGAAGAGGACGAGGAGGACGAGGAGGACGAGGAGGACGAGAAAACGGATCTGCTGACAGAGCGCCGAGGGAGCTGGCCACTGTGCAAGACAGGAGCGGGGTCTCAGGCAATACAGCAGCAAGCTTCAGGCAGCTCAGCGGCGGCCCGATCCCTCAACTATACAAGGGGAAAGCAGCACCACACTGCTGGTCATACAGAGCAGCGGCGGCCGAGCCCCTCAACTATACAAGGGTACACAGGCCCGAACCACACTGCAGCTACTGCGCAGTCGGCGGAGGAGGCTGGGCCGAGGAGGAAGAGGAGGACGAAGAGGGCGATGAGGACGAGAAAGACGAGGAGGTCGAGGAGGGCGACGAGGACGAGGCGGAGCAGACCCCCGGCGGCGCTCCTTCGCCGCGGGCACCGCCACCAGCGCCCGCGGAGTCCCTCAACGAGCACGGCTCGGCCGTGTCGCCCGCGGCCTCGCCAGGGACGGAGCGCTCTGGCAGGGGGAGGGCAGAGGAGGAGGAGGTGAAGGAGGTGGAGGAGGACAAGAAGAAGGAGGGAGAGAAGGAGGAAGGAAGAGGAAGAGGAGAAGGGAGGAGGAGGAGGAGGAGGGAAGAGGAGGAGAAGGGGGAGGAGGAGGAGGAGGAGGAGGAAGAGGAGGAGAAGGGGGAGGAGGAGGAGGAGGAGGAGGATGGAGAAGGAGGAAGAGGAAGAGGAGGAGGGAGGAAGAGGAGGAGGAGGGGGAGGAGGAGGAAGGATGGAAGAGGCGGTGTCTCAAGGAGCAGGAGGAGGAGGAGGAGGAGGAGGAGGAGGAGGGAAGAGGACGAGCGCACATTGAAAACTGACCAACGATATTGCAATAACTCCTCACAGTTCCCCGTTCATATGCCCCTACAAAGACTTCGATCTCACTGAGGGAAGTGCCCCATTGAAAAACAAACGTTTGAAACTCCTGAACTGCGCCAAAACACCATTCCTGAGGTTCCAACGCCGCATATCACAGTAACTGTTGCGTCTTGGCGATCCTGAACCGCGCCAGAAGACCATTCCTGGGATTTCGGCAAATCGAATAAACGTAACTGCTGCGCCCTGACAGTCCGGCATCGTACCAAAACACTGTTTCTGGAAAGCTCGCCATGAGAATCCTTGAAACTGCTGTCTGCTGTAACCTCTTAAGTCGAATGCGCGCGTCGCTAAGACGAGAACCACACTTTGAAACAGACCCGCCCTCCATCCGTGAAGCGCTTGAATGTGTTTTTGAAGAAAACAACGAATACACGCGGCTCAAGGCGAGAACCACATTTTGAAAACCACCCGCCCTCAACCCGCGAAACTCTTCCAAATGTTTGAAGCGAATGTGCGCGGCGCTAAAGAAAGAACCACACTTTGAAAACGACCCGCCCTTCATCCGCGAAGCTCCTGCAACTTGTTAAAAATAATGTGCGCGGCTCTGAGTCCACAGCCACACTTTGAAAACGATCCGCCCTCCATCTGTAAAACTCTTTCATTTGATTGAACCGAAGGTGCGCGGCGCTACGGCGAAAACCACAAACCACAATTTGAAAGCATCCCACCCTCCATCCATGAAACTATTGCGCATCCCAAGCTTCAGGATCATAAATGGTGAAGAAACCTCCGGCGAAACGCCCGGCCCGCCCCCTCCACCAGCCTCGGGTTGCGACAGGGAAGAATTAGTTATAAGGGAAAAGGAATGGTGAGGGAGGAGGATAAAGGAGGAGGAGTCTGAGGGAGGAGGAGGAGGAGGAGAAGGAAAAGGAGGAGTAGGAGGACGACGACCACGACGAGGAGGTTGAGCGCGCTGCGGGCGAACCTGCGCGAGTCACAGCACGCAGGGAGAATTCGAGAGCCCCCGCGGAACGCATCGCTGGCATGGGCTCTCCGGCCCCAGCTCTGGCTCTCCAGGCCCGCCCGGGGCGCTCGCCCTGGCCCTGGCCCGCGCGAGCCGGCGCCCCGTCGCCAGGAGGGCCCGAGCCAGGCACCCGTCCGCCAGCAGATTTGGACGCCCGAAAGGGGTACGGAAAAAATGGGCACAGTGCCCAACAACGAATGTTGTCCCAAACCAGCAGCGGCCGCTGCTGGGCAGGCGGCCTCTGTCTCAAATGGACACGGGCCGCGGCGGCGTGGACAGCGAGTCCTGTTCGGAATGGACAGGAACTGCTGTTGGGCGTTGGGCATTGCACCCCTTCTTTCCGCACCCATTGCGTTCGTGCCGGAGGAGGGCCCGAGCCAGGTACCCGTCCGCCTGGAGAGGGAGGCAGCAACAGGAGGCGGGAAGGCGGATGGAGTACGGAGGAGGTCTACATAAAGGATGTCATTGGTAAGGGACGCAGAGGCTCGACCTGGCAGAGCTCCTTCATATCTTATAAACGATTGGTCGAGGCCCTGGACCACAGAGCTTACGCCCATCACGACTTAAGGAATTGTCCCGGACCCTGAATAGCGCCCGCCAGTCCTTCTAATACAGGGAATGTCCGAGGGCCTCGCCTAGAAGCACACATTCCTAATAGAACACCTCCACCGTAGCCTGCGTTCGGGCCCGCCCAAGGAATGACAAACGCATCAAAACATGTAGGTGATCGAAGTAGGGAGGAACCTGAAGTATATTGAGATTCTGGGGGGCTGAAATGCCCACTTTCAGAGGCTGGCGTGCATTTCCATCCTTGAAGGAGGAGTGGAGGAGAACCGAGGACGTCGACGACGAACACGTCTTCATTTCAGAGGTTTTCGGTATATTCTGCAGTTTCTCGTCCCGCGGCTGGGCGCGGCTCGAATATATTGACAGGATGGACCAAGGAGGTGTCCAGGGGCAGATGTTCAACGAATTTGCAGGAGGACGAGGAGGATCGAGGCGTGTGAAAGCGTTGATCCCTTTTTAGAATTCCGGAAGCCGATTGAGACTTCCGAGGACGACCAGATATTCGTACCATATGAACTGACTATGATGCTTTCCCACGTGTTTCAAACGGTTCCCCTCCCGTATGGCCACGGATGCAGTCGGACGTCTTTACAACATGTCGGGGATGTTCAATGCTGTTGTCAACTAGATCGGTGTTCTCGAAGGAATTCCAAGGTGTACGAAGATTTCTTCAGGTTTCTACATGCTTCTGAAAGGGGGGAAGGAGGACGAGGGAGGCCGAGGAGGAGGGAGGAAGGGAGGGAAGAACGAAAACAGGGTGGAGGAGGAAGAGGAGGAGGAGGCGGCGGAGGAGGAGGAGCGAGGGACGAGAAAGAGAGAAAGTAGGAGGGAGAAGCAGGAGGAGTAGGACGACGACGAGGAGGAGCAGGAAGAGGGGCAGGAGCAGGGGGAGGAGGAGGGAGGAGGAAATGGGAGGAGGGAGGGGTATAGTTTGGAAAAGGAGAGGGTAGGGAAAGAGGAGGAGGAAGAGAGCAGAAAGGAGGAAGAAGAAGAATAACAATAAGGACAAGACACATAAGGACCATCAGAAAATCATAATAATACGATTAGCAAGGAGAGGCAAAAAGAGGGTCAGGACGAGGAGGACGCCGATAGTGAGGAAGGTGAGGAAGGACGAGCAGGAGGAGGAACACTTGAGAGACGATGCGGAGACGATGAGGAGGCGATGAGGAGGAGTAGGAGGAAGAGCAGGAGAAGAAAGGAGAAGAAAGGAGAAGAAAGAGGGAGGAAGAAGAGGAGGAGGAGGAGGAGGAGGAGGAGGAGGAGAGGGAGGAGGAGGAGGAGGAGAAGAAAGGAAAAGGGAGGGGGGGAAGGAGAAGAAAGGGGGTGAAGGGAGAAGAAATGAGAAGGGGAAAGGCACGAGGGAGAGCCGCATGAGGAGAGAATGAGGGATCACGTCCTCCCAGGACAGGGCAGGTTGTGCAGGCATATCCTGCGCACTCGTTCTTGTCGACGTATCCATCTGAACTTCCAACCAGCATGACACTCACAACGTGCAGAACAGAGAATACGAAACGGGACAGGTATTATTCTATTCCTACGCCGCCCGTCCTCCTCGTCCTCTTCCTCCTCCACCGCTGTCTCCCCCTCCTCATCCTCATCCTCCTCCTCCACATCCTCCTCTCCTCATCGTCATCACCATCATCATCATCAGCAGCAACATCAGCATCATCAGCAGCAGCATCATCAGCAGCTTCAGCATCAACATCCACATCATCATCAACAACCATAAGAACAGCATCACCATCATCATCAGCATCATCGTCAGCAACAGCAGCATCAGTACCATCGTCACCAGCAGCAGCATCACCACCAGCATTATCACCATAATCGTCGTCACCATCACCATCATAATAACCGCCAGCAGCAGCAGCACCACCACCTTCATCATACGAATCGTAGTCAGCATCATCATCATCATCATCATCATCATCATCATCATCATCATCTGCATCAGCATCAGCATCATCATCATCATCATCATCATCATCATCAGTCTCATCATCATCAGTTCCAACATCGTCGTTATCATCAGCATCACCATCATCCTCATAAGTTCTATACTACGCATCATCCCCATCATCCTCATCATCCTCATTCTCCTGAACCTCCTCCCATCCCTTTGCAGAAATAGCGAAAGCCATGGCGACCCCGATGCCCGATTAGATGGGAGTTCCGGTCGGGAAAAATTGAGCCAAATCCCACCAGCCCTCTGGGCGTCGGTGACTTAGGGCGTTTCCTCTTCCACCCCTCCCTCTTCCCCTTCGGGGAAGGGTTTACCCTCCCCCTACCCCCTCCCCGTGGACCTGGACGGGAGGGGCGGGGAGGTGTCAGGGCGTCCCCAAGAGGCCCCAAGATGGCCCCAAGAGGCCCCAAGAGGCCCCCAGGAGGCCCCCAAGAGGATCCCAAGCGGCCCAAAGAGGCCCCCCCGAGGCACCCAAGACGCCGAAAAGCCCCTCAGGACGACCCTCTACTCGCCTGGGCGTAGTTTCTGGATGGGCTGGTGGGGATTTTTGTCGCAGCCGCAAGCGAAAGCGCAGGCGGCGTCAAACGGAACGGGCGGGCCGCGCGCGAACCTAATTGCCTAACGCGCCAGCAAACAAAGGCCTGAACGGCACCTCAAATCACCGGAAGCGGGAGGTGGTGCGGGCTGCAGCTGCCAGGAAATAGGTCCAGGAGCGAGCACATGCAAATTTGCCAACCGAAGTTGGGGCGCAGCCAAAATGGCGCGGGAGCGAAACCAGGATGAAGCCAGGAACGCCACCACAAAGGACCGCAGATATCAGCAAGGCCAGGAGGAACTCACTGACCAGGAACCTGGTGCATGGAAGTGGCGCCACCAAAGTCACACACACACACAACGCTGACGAGTGGCCGCAGAGGGCGAGGACAAGACGTAGGATAAACCACACGAGACGCCCATGCACCCAGCCCCTGAAGGGGGCAGCTCGCTTGCAATACAGTCCAGGAGGTAATGCTGTCACCGATGGCCAGGAAGGCGTCAGTGACCAGGAGCCAGCACGAGTGGCGCCACCGAAG